TCTAGTTACAGCATTAGCACATTTCAGTATACAAAATGCTAACTGTTAGCCACTCACTTTCAGCCAGTGTTAGCTAAGTATTGAGATAGCTTAGTATCTGAATTGTTAACAGACTTGATATTGCTAGGTATGAAAGGCACGTAATCAAGCTACAAGTTGACTATTTGCTCTAATTTCTTGTCTTATGACTGAATGAATGAACAGAACGAGTAATTTTTGGGCTCTCAAACACGACTCATTTCCCACCATCAGGTCAGATTATGTGTGTGAGTTTGTTGAAAAGCTGTGGATATAAAATGCGATTTAATGTTCAGTGAAGCGAAGCGCACTAGTGGAAAAAGTCAACCGTGCTCAAACGAAAAAAGCCAGAACAGAAAGTATAAGCAAATTCATGGCCTCCAGATGAAACTCTATTAATAGAGTTCTGCTTTCACCAATGAAGGTCTAACGGACAGCAGTGTGCACCTCTGAAACAAAGCTAATAGACAAAATTCCTGTAATGTTGGTTGGTTCTCATACAGATAATTTTTGTATTTTTTTTTTTTTTCCATCTCATTGTTAAAATTATACTTTTACAGTATCTGAAAACTACTGAAGCTCTTAGTATCACCATATTATCCAGTAGCGAAGTGCTAATACTGAGATATTCAGGGGAGAAAATGAAATAAAAGAAGATTATTAGCATTGATGATTGATTTTGTTTCGGGGGTTTTTTTCAGCATCTATGATAAGAAATGAATCATCAGCTGGCGTGCTGTTACAGTCATGCCAAAAAGTTTTTTTTATTTTCCTATAACAACACACATCCTGAAGTGTTTTATTCCTCTTAGACCACACAAATTTCCCATCCTTACGATCATTATTTACTAATGAACCCATCATATCTTTTAATGGGTGTGTTGAAAGTCTGTGAAATGAGTTAGAATCTTTTTTAGTCCCTTTTTATTAAAACAAATACAATTTGTCGGCGACAAACTGCAAAGCACAAACTCCTCCTGCAAAACCTGCTTTAAAATCAAAATCTATAGAAATGAGAACGCATCAGAATGAGCGCATTACATAATATAAACCCGTTGCACTGTCAGAGCTGCTGTTATAGATGATTAATCAACAGCGCTGGGGTGTAGCAGCAAACAATCCACTCTCAAAGCAACGACCCGGAAAAAAAAAGAGATACATTTTATAGATTTTTTAAAAATTAATAGTCTTTAAATAATATGTAGTACATTTCTGGTGTTATTATCTGCTCCCTCACCCTCACCAATACCCGCCCAATTTGTATTTTTTTTTTACATGCATGCAAATTTGGAGACGCACTAATGTGGTGAAAGTGTGTGTGTGTGTGAGATACCAAGTGTTTTGCCTCTCCTTATAAGTGCACAAGATACACACTCGTCTCTAATCTCCGATCACCTCCACCAGTAACCATGATGATCCTGAGCACCACCGCTCTCGCCGGACTCCTCCTCTCTCTCTCGGGTAAGACATTTTTTCAATTCATTTTTGTTTCCCAATATGAATGCAAAAGTTCCTGCTTGGCTCTTGCCCTCTGAAGCCATTTTTACATTATAATGAGTATTGTAAATATAATGTCCAGCTTATTTGAGAGAAACCAGGTTAAAAAGCAAAAAGACTGGAGGATTGTCAAGCATGAGAAGTGCTATCAAGCATCATGTTTATATTGTATAAACTTGGTGTGTAGTTGTTGGGTCCAATGGGAAATCCCATCGAAGAGAACTCAGGATCACATGTTTATATTTGGGATTCTTGTGTTTTCCCAGGGTTTGAGGCCATAGTGCATCTGACCCAGGAGAAGATCATGAACGTGAACATAGGACAAGATGTAAAGATTCTCTGCAGGAGAGATGATAGTGGTAGCTGGGCCATTTCATGGTACCAGCAGAAAGCTGGAGATGCTCCAAAGTTCTTACTAGCTGATAGCACCAGAGCCAGTGGTCTGTCCAGCAGATTCACATACACAGACAGTGGTGTGGATGAGTACCTGAACATCGGCCGAGTGGAAGCTGAGGACGAAGCGGTGTATTACTGCGGCTGCATCATTTGTCAAAACCATCACAATGCTGCAGCTCAATGAGCAACTCGTACAAAAACCTCAGAGTGTTTCAGTCATCCTAATGATCCGTCCCATTCAGTCCAGGAGCTCCAATCCAGGCAGTAATGATTAGAAATTTTTTTTACGATTTCTCATGCCACATGTCTGAAATTTCCTCCAGATTTGCCTCTTTGAGCTTCAGTTTTGTGAACGTTGAGGCGTTCAGTGTGAGCA